GAAGTTACGAATCGTATCCTAAATATAAATCGATCGTATTGATGTTTTATTTTTCAATAGTAACAGTATTATTTTTGAAATTTTAAAAATATTTACGTTGCATGATTGAAAAGTATTACTTGTAATTGATACATTTACCTGGTTTTCTCGGTTTTCTATATTCGTTTGAGGTAGTAGATGTTATATTCATTGGTCTTGCATAATCGATCGTGTGCATAAATTATTTAAGGCTTTATAAGTTTTTAGTAACAATGAGCTGATATTTCAAATTATAAAAAGACGTATATCGCAAATTTTTTATACTATAATTTAACTTTTTAACTTAAGATTTTCATTCAAACCTTAAAGTCCCATTCTGCTTTGGTTTAAACACTTTTAAATAGATTTTCCACCATCAATAAGTCGCCAGAGAATTGTTCGTCATGGATAGAGTACACAATACATTCAAAACAAAACCTAGGCTTATCATATTACTTCTTAATTCAAATCTTTTTCAATAATTAGCTGAGTTCAATATTGACGAAATATTTTTTGTATGTACTCGTATATTACGAGATTTATTCGTCTAAAGTCTGAACCGATTTTCTTGATTTGTTTTTTACTAAATAGTTTTTTTATTAAATGGTGTTTCAGGGTTGATCGCTTTTAATTCTTTGAAATCGGTTTTTACTTTTTAGTAAAAGTTAGCCATGTCGTTATGTTGCTTGATGTAGATACTATTTCCCTTAATTTTTTTATTGCGGGTCCAGTGTTAAGTGACGATTACGTCTCAAAGTAAGCTCATTGTTTGCATAAATCAGTATTGGTTGATACTTCAATGCTTGTGTCTTTTAGTTGTACGTGCGTGCTCTTTAATGAAAAAACAATAGTGATTTAATTTCTCGTAACATTAGCCAATTTTGAAAAATGTGCTTTTTTATTCTTTCGTAATGGGCTACTCTACGCCTTTCTTGTTACATGTTACCAGTGTTAATGTCAAAGATAAAATGTCAATATATTGGCGGTAATAAACGTCACTCGTATAATTTTATTGTTGTAGCATGTTAAATATTTTCTTACACGATATTAGTACATACCGTAATAATATAGGGCTATAATGCAGAATAGTACTGTGCGGCATAACACTTACTCGTAAATTGTGTCACGAATATTAATAGATCGAGTTATCGAGTACCTTTGTTTCCAACAGCGGAAATATTATACACTGTTTAATAACATTAGCGAGTTTGTTGTTACGGCGGTGTCTTGAACACATGCCCTCAAATAATTCCACATTCTGTTCAGTCCAGTTTCGGATTGGTGTTTTATGCCGGATATAAAATATTAACTTTCGATTTTCAATTATTCTCTGACTTCAAAAAAGATAAAGCGATATTTTCGTCCGATAGTAGACCGATTTAGATGATTTTTTATTATTAAATAGGTTAATACTTCAAATTTAATCGCATATAAATTCTACCCTAAATGTGAAAAAATAGGGCGTGATGTTTATAAAGTAACCATGATAAATGACATTCCACTTGGTGTTACTTTGAGATTGTGACATTCACTATTAAGGATCTCAAATTAAGTTTTTAATAAAAAGTTAGTTAACTTCAATAAAATATTCCATATACATTATAGCTTCTGAGTTCGGCTTTAATTTTTCTATGCTCAATATCTCGCAACACCGGCTTCAGAAACTATGATGTGGGAATAAATTTTTCTGTTTAGGTTCTTTGAAGCGGGCTTTTACTTAATAGCAAAAGCTTTTTTTTCCTTAACTTACACTTAAAAATAGCCTACTCAATTCAATGGAGTATTCTCCAACTTACATTTAAAATCTTAATAAGTTTCTTGTTTTAAGTTTATCTTTTAACATACCATTAACAAATCTTTTGTTTGTTCATACTAGACACAAAATACATTCAAGGCTTTTTAATTATTAAATTAACGGCTCTTTTATTTATTTATAATTCAAACAATATTATATGGGTAATCAAAAAAAATATTATACAGTTGTACATAATATTCCGTACCCTATCGTTATTAAACATATTTATATGCTCATAATCATATTTTAACATTCATGTCTTATTATAATAATAAATACGCCTTCAAAACATTAGCACTGAGGAAATTGATAAAGTTAAAGCAAGTACAGTCATTTATACTTTTTTTATAAAACATGGGTGACAGCTGACAATTGGGCGCACAGTCCACCTGATGGTAAGTGGATGCTGTGGCCCACAGACATCTACATCTATCCTCGATGAGGAACAAAATGTAGATGCGTTGTCACCTCTGAGGAATAAGACGAAATGCCGCATTTCAAGTTAAAAGGGTCTCCGATTCTCTTCACTCACCATACGAAACATTGCTATTCGTTGAAAGCGTGATCTTTTCCTGGTTGAGCCGTGTTTTTGCAAATTTTTTATTTTTATGCTAAAACCATAATAAAGCCATGATATAGCAGCGTGGCTCTACTACGTATAAAAATTTTGTCGTACAAAACATAAATAAGCGACATAATGTTTAAAAATCAAATATTGTGTTTACTTCAATAAAACATAGCTGCTACTTAATATAACGATGATATCATGCAGACATGAACCTTACGGCTACCAGCACTTACATTTTTCAATTGCGCATTTAAGCAAATTTATTCTATAATTAAAAACGTTGTTGCTTTGTCATCGACGTACATTTCAGATTTCGTTTGTGTTTTTGTAATGGACAATGAAAGAAATTATATGATAATACCGATAAAAAATGTTTATTCATTCCTATACCAGTTCACACATTTGATACGCAATTTTATAAATCTGTAGATGCAAAGCATTGGCTGCCGGCTGTGTGCAACTGTCGTTTAAATCAACGCGACTGGTTTTATCATACGCCCTTGGACTCATTATATCATCGCCCTCTGTATTTAGTGACTAACTGCGAAAAAAGTTCACTGCACTCTTGATGAGAACATTGCACTGATTCCGATCACTTTCCCACCAAGCGGTGATGCTGTTGCTTCGCCTTTATTGTTCTTCATTATTTATTGTCATCAGCGATATCATTCTGCGCATCTTATCTCGGCCTCTTGGCATAATTTTCATACTCTCGCTGATTACAGACTCACGCACTAAAATGTATACGTTAGCAAACTTGATAAATATTAAAATTTATGATCGTTTGTTTTAGGAAGTAGAACGTTACCTTTTAAAATGATTATGCTCATTATTGCCAATACCCAGTTTTCAAGTTGATCTGCGTTGTAATGATTAGTGCCGTTATAACTGATGAGATTCACTATAGACCGGTGAGCGCTGGAATTGCTGCGATTGAAGGTCGCCACACCCACGCTGAAAAGATGTTTTACTCTTATTTTTGGAGGGTACTAATTATATCACGAAAAATTTTGCTCAACCTCACTTTGCTTAATGACTGTATAGCTTAGTCTGGATTTTAGGTCTTGATATTTATTTTTAGTTTGTTGTACTTACAAAGAAACAAAGAAAATCGATGTACAATTATGCGTATGACGCATTTTTAAATTGCTTCAATGTAGTTACATAAATATTCATCTGCAAAGCTGACATAATTTATATTTTTCCATATATTTAATTGCTATCCGCATTCCCATTTATCATTATCTTGACATTAGATCATTATCTTTGTAATGTACTATTTTCGTAATTTTATCATTGTGTTTATTTGCTTCAATTAAATCTATTGCGTAACTACTACCAATTAATTGTTCCTTTTTTGTTTTTATTCTGGTCCAACGCTGGCCTGTCTTTATTATGAGCGAAAATAGATTCTAATGAAGCTTAATTGTCAGCTATAAATTGTCTCTTTATATTATACATTTCGTATTCTTATACTGTCAAGCGGATTTGCGTTCACGAAACTTCATTCACAAGTCTCATTATTTGATTTTTTTATTTTCCCTTTTTTATTAATTATTTAATTTAAATAAACTTTTTTGTAGTCAGAGTTTTTTATTGGTTTTTAAAATTCGCTTGTACTATTGCACAAACCATTGCAGGAAAATGAGCTTACATCACAATTCCCTAACACACAATATTACTTATTATGTACTTGTTAAAATATCTCAAACGGTATAATTATTTACAAAAAGAAATATTTTTGCTCTTATATTTTTATTTCGTTTTTCAAGACGATAAATTATAACTAGTTGTTCAATCCAGCTACAGAAACATTTTGCTGATAATAAAGTATCATTAAGTTTATAGTAAGTCTATTTATGTTTTTTTTTTCATTATTTTCCAAATCAGAAATTTTTATAAGGGAATATAATATGGATTTGCAATTCGCAAATGTCGCGAATGAAGCAAACAAGATCTTTGTTTTTGTCGATAATATGCCGAGTTGTAGAGTTCAGGGTGCACGGACGGCTCGCGTGGCGGTGACGTGTGCGCCGCCATTTTAAATAGGGCGAGCGCACGATCAGACTATCAGTCGCCCGGTAAAACGCGCAAGCGCAGGTCTCTTGCAGTATAATTTTTATAAAATTATTCAGTTTGATTCAGGCCTCCCTCCGTTACGCACGCGTGCAGTGATCCCGAAACTCAAGTGTAAAACATGATTGACATTGTTCAGGCCAAAGATGGCTGTTTATACGAAATCACTAGGAAGGGAGCGAAAGATACTTGTTACGTGGTCGTGTCTAATCCAGAAGTAGGTTTACGTTGTTTTGTTTGTGTACGTTTTTTATAAAATATTTAGTATAGTTATATAAAATCGTAGGTTGTTTACATAATCGTCAACATTTTCGATAACTCATTTATGTGAATGTTATAATTCTTATCTGAATTTAATAAATTACTCAGAATGTTTAAGTATTCTTATTTTAAATCATTTTTAAATTTGGAACTCTGTATACGGAAATGTTTCTCAAAACCGGTTTACGGTGTTTCGATCAGGCGCTGATAAAATAACATCGTGTATATTACAGTCGTTGTTTTATTAAATCGCGCTAATGGACGAATTGTTGTTTGTTTCAGGATTTGGTTAAGAGCCACTTGATGTTCGCGGTGCGTGAGGAAGTGGAAGTGCTTAAAGAGCGCATCGCCGAACTGATGGAGAGGATCAACCAGCTGGAGGTAGAGAATACGTACCTGCGGGCGCACGCCAGCCAGGACACGCTCGCGCAGCTGCCGGCCGCCGGCGTGAAGCCGCCGCCGCAGACGCAGGGCCCTCAGCCGCCCGTCTCGTAGGCGCCGCCGCCGTGCCCTCGCTCGACCCGAGGAAAGTACGATGGCTGTGCTATGTTATATCGTAGGTTAGCAGGGAACGACCGCGGAGCCGGTCGAGTGCCGAGGGACGCAGCGTGACACGCCTATCGATTCCGATGAGCTGTCGTGCGTACAGCTAGCATCACTAGCGTAAGGCGCGACTGGCACATCTCTGGCCGACCGGCCGCTGAATGCCGCCGCGACGCTCCGAGCCTTGCGCTCATGTACCAGGCCTGGACTCGTAGAATATATTTTCTGTTATTTAATCTATAGGGTGCAGAACTTTGTGCTAACTGCCATGCTTTTGCTGTGCAACTCGGCGACGAGCCTTTTTTAGTGTTTCGATGTAACGTCTATATTTTTATTCGGTTTAAAGTTAGATGTCGCTATCCAAGTAATGTATTCCATTTAAGATTACTGTAAGAACGTGTTTGTGTAATGTAAAATGTAATAAAATAGTCTATTATTCCTACGCATTAAACAATGACTGTTAATTTATTTACTATATTTTTTGTAATAATTTTAAGTTATTTATCAAGTTTTACCGTGCTAACAAATAAATTTACAAGAGTTTGTTCCTCACCAGCCCGATTATAATGATCTGTTGATTGTAGCCTGATTGTAATGTGTGGAATTTCGTTTAGTTTATAATTTTTAATATAATTATTACAAATATATAATAAATGTTTGAAGTTATATGACCTGACTTTGATGTTTGTAGAACACTAATAAAACGTTTTATATCGTAATCGCGAGAGGCGGCCTCTTGCGATCGCTGGCTTTAGTACACGCTAATACTAAAGAAAAAAAATCTATTTTATTCCAGCCCTATTTATCGATAATAGAGAGGTTATAGCAGTTTAACACTATTTTTTTTAATGAATATAAATTGTTTGTATATAGTACAAGTTGTAATAGAATTATGAGATAGAAGGATGTAAATATAAAAGAATGTGATTATAGAAGCCGCTGGAGTGTTCCGACTAAGTAGGATTGCAGTTATCATATGAAGAGATATAACAGAACTATAAGTATATTTGCTGTATTTTAAACTTGCTTCGTTGTTAATCTATAAATTAAAGAACAAAGTGGCTGGTGACTGATTGTATAGAATCGCTGCTGGCAGGGACATGACGAATGAGTTCCGGAGATCAAGTTATGTCCCAGCGAGCACTGTGTGTCTAGTGTAGTATTTTGTACAACGCAACTGCGTACGTGTACAGATGTTAGGTTCTCGTAATTATTGTGAATATCCAGTAATCTACACCTAAAAGCATTATCCTAGTAACTAGATATGAATAATTATATATGATTCTGAAAACTGTAAATATACTAGTAAACAAACAATGTCCATGTAGCTTATGTTGACCAGAAAGGTTCCTCATACCCAATAAATGCGAAACTATTAAAAATGTGTTATTTTTCTAATTTAATCCTTTTCAATTATAAGGTGGTGATGGCATATTAAATCTATTATTAATGGTGGCCTATCAACGACTGCTAAATTTAAAAGAACTATCTAAGGTACTCCGTTAGTGGTATCATTTTATGAAACTGTCATCTACAATTTAGAACAGAAATCTAGATATATTATTGAAGCCACACTAGCTCTATGGTTCCATATCATGTCGAGGGTATCGTAAGGGACAACCATGGAATGTGCCAAAAAGGCCTCTTGGCTTCTGACAAATGACATTATAATCAAAAATACCCAAACCGACGAAAATGTCACTGTCAAAACATTAGTAAAGCGATCATCATTCATGTGCCAAGCGTGACGATTAACCTCCCTACAACGGAAGACCTTACTGGCTGATGAAGAAGCCTAATGGTTGAGAATATGAACTGCGAAACTAAAAGTTCTTTGGTTTTTTTCATAGAATATGGGTGACAAACGAGCACACAGTCCACCTGATGGTAAGTGGATGTAGTTGCCCATGTACATCTGGATCCATCTTCGATTAAGAATCAAAGCAGCTTGAGGACTAAGACGGAATCCTTCATATCCAGTAATAAGGTTCTCTGCACTCGCCCTACGAAAAGCATCAGTATTAAGCCGCTATTCACGCTGGTATTCCTAGCTCCCCGGCCGAGGAGAAGCTCTCACAGATTTTTTTATAGGATAAGGGTGACAAACGAGCACACAGTCCACCTGATGGTAAGTGGATGCTATGGCCCATAGACATCTACATTCGATTAAGAATCAAAATGCAGATGTGTTGTCACCCTTGAGGACTAAAATTAACTGTAATTTTAATTACCGATTGACCATATTCTTAGCAGCGGCAAAAAAGTAAGGAAACCTGCATACTTATTCAAAAATATATCGAGGACATTTGAAATCCGTCAACTCATACAAGTAACGTGGACAAATTGATTCGTTACCTCAGAAATGAGAGGAGGTCTATGCCCAGGTGTGGGGCGTTATAGGCTAGCTATTTGAACTTTATTACTTTGATTTATAGAATGGGTAAATGTTTAAAAAAGTATTACTCAATTATTTTCTAAATTACGTAGTTTTGTGAACGTCTAAAACTGAAATGTCAATGTTTGAGCTACACTCTAGTGTACTCTAAGAAAAATAATGTCCGCCAGAAAGAACTTCGGTCACATCGGTCACTACGGAAACTAGCCATACCGTATGTACAGGAAAGGATTATAGTCCACAAGTATATGCGCAAGCACAGGTGCACACTATTCCCTCACTTTCATAGTCCGATGGTACGGTAATCCGACATGAGCGAAAAGATCAGACTCAGGACTCTCGGCTTTACCTGGTTTCCGAGCCCCGGGGGTAAAACAACGCCAATTTCCTGACTCCGGGGTACTACTGAGAATTCCTTGACGGAAAATATCCCAATAACTTTCCGCCCGGAACCCGCTTTACAACCACTAGGCCATCGAGGCAGTCACTCTAAGAATACTTACAGCTTTTAACAGTCTCTTAAAAAAATTGAAAATCATAAAATACTTACAACCAATTTGCAATCTCTGGGTCATTACGGCTATAATGACAAGATAAAATGATCGAATGATCTAAAAGGTATTGAAACATAAGATTATCTTCACATTAAGATGAATAATAAATATACACCATGTTTATACATAATCTATCGTCTCTAGATCTATATACTACATCGACAACATACGTACACAGAATAGAATAGATTAATTTCTATTCAAAATACAGCGTTATTTTGCAATAACCGGCCAAATTTGCAGAGAAGGTTCAGACTTATTCTGATAATATAAGCAAATGGAGAAGAAAAATTAATTAAAAAATATCAAACTTTCTGTCCATTTTATTTTTTAAATTCAAAATGTGTGGTCAAGCATTATTTTACTGTGCGTGCCGTTTTTTACCGGCGCTGTGTACACATTCGTAAAATGTTGTTGCCTATAAATCACATTGTCGGCTCTTACGACACCCACGAGATGAATTGGGGTAGTAGATATTCTTACACCGCCACTGCACGGTCAATTTTAGAAACAGTGCCTACTAAAGAAAAATTACAAGTTGTTTCCACCACTTTTATAACAACAACGTACAAAACGTGGTAGAGCCATGCTACGGCTTACCTATATGTTATGATTGTAGCACGAATGGGTCGGCTTGACCGAGGAATAACCACGATCTCACAAATTGATGTTTTTCCTATGGCGAAGTGGTGGCAGTAGTAAAGAACCAGAGACTATTTACTGAAAACGAGACATTCCATCTCAGTCCTCGGGGTAACTGCATTTTGATTATTTATCAAGAATAGATGTAGTATTAGGTGAACTGTATGCTCGTTTGTCAGAAAAAAAACATGTCTTCAACAACAAGCCTACAACGTCGCCTCCTCTACTGTGTCATGGTATTGTGTTGTGCTATTTTAGGCCCACAGTTCATTTGCAATCGATATGCTGGTAAAATTGTGATTTTGGTTTTCGTTCGTTAGGAAACTTCTGCAGTTCCTAAAAGATAGCAAAATATAAAATATGAAATTTATCTTATATTCTTATGTATAGAAATTAATTTTTGTTTGTTCGTATTCTATGCGCTGCCGTACCGTTCATCAGATTGCAGTAAAACTTTGTCAACTTAATGCTTGCATAATTGATAGAATCAGGCGCCACCTTGCGGAAATCCATTATAATAAAAATATTAATTAACCTTCCGCTAACCAAATACAACGATGTGTCTTACCTGGATTGAAGAGAACCTCCCGCCCCCCCTCAATTGCATGCACTGACTCCGTTACTACTAGTCTCAGCACCACTACTCCTGGCACCACTACTTCCAACACGACTATTCCAGGTAAGACACACCATCGACGATAATACGACACGTGTTTCGCCTGTACACGAGGCATCCTCAGGTGATGTAGACTCTACGGCGGCTGACCGCTAAGTCTAAGTCTCTAAGGCGCTGGTTAGCGGAAGGTTGCAAAGTAATTAATGCTTGCACTTGCGCTAAGGTTGTAGGTATAGTACAATAACTTACCGGGTGGCGCTCGTATCGTATCGATAATTTAATTGAAAGTTATAGATAATTCAATTTCAATGATTGTATTGTCATTCGTAATTAAACAATATAACTCTTCCAAATTTAAAACGATATTTCTACAATCGTTTCTTCTGCGGCTGTGAAATGAGAAATAATTTCTGCTAGCATCGCTAATTTTAATGTTGAGTACGTGGTAGAGCGTGGTAGTCTCGTGGTAGAGCTACTATGCAGCTGTATTAAGGCTACTGCACGAATGTTGGACCGGGAAAGGACCAAACTCTCACAGATTCATCATCATAATCATCATCATTACAGCCCTTTAAAAACCTACTCAACATACGCCTCTTAGTATCTGTTCTACACGTACGCTGCCTGTTAGTATATCTTAGGATACACTTCTTACACGAGCACGATCCTGAGCCACGTACATCCATCGACTTCCTGCATCTCTTACCAGGTGGCCACTCCATCTAGAGGTGGCGCTGCCTTACAC